TCGTTCCAAATATAACTCGTCGCTTAAACCTAAATCATTGATATTCATTCTCTAAAATTCCACCTGACAGAAAATTTATTTATTTGTCGAATAATAGCATATTTCTCGAAAATTATAAAAGAAGAAATCGAATAAACAGTCATCGTTTCCAAGATGTTATCAACCGTGCTTAGCCGGTGCACAGTTGTGACGAATAGAAAGTTGTCCAGGGGCGATTTTCGAGAGGTTTGGAAGAGACGACAAGGTGAGCCGGCCATTTCACCAGCCTTCCTCCCCTTTGAGAAGGGAACGTTACCAATTACTCGGCGGTCTGATTACCGTCGAGTTTCTCTGCCAATGTAAATATTGAATTTACCCCTCCCCTAACCCGATTGGCATCCTTAATTCTCACGACGAGGCTGTCGTGACGTCAACTTATCATACTAATCGCGATACGTTGAAATTTCCACGAGCCACCCTTTAGGACAAAGAAGAATGACGAACTCTTTTGGATTCTTTGAATCTTATTTCAAATAATTCGTATTGACACGTATTTCGATTCAGTCAAGCAAAAATTTGACTCGATTTGGTAAAAGTGGGGAGGTGAAATTGGAAAATAATAAAAGATAGATAGACTGCGAAGAAATTTCATCTTTCTTAAGTCACATGTTTTGTAATATATACGAGTAAAAATGATTAACAACAAAAGAGAGATGATAGGGGATGCTTTTTAAAAAGCATCGAATTTGAAACGATTGTCAACTATGAATAATATCGTAAAAGAATAAAATTACTTTCAAAAATGCTCCAATGCTCGTTTAACGCGGAAACATTATTTTCTCCATTTAACGTAAATCGATCGCAATTATAACGTTAATGCAGTTTTAACGCGATACGATTTAAACGTAGCCAAAGTTGGGTGTAATAAATGGGGGATTCGGATAATGGAGGGATGGAAACAGCAAATAACACGAAGATTCGTTCAAGCTTCAAGCTTATAACCTGTGTACATCTCTGTAATTTAAATCGACCTTAGCCAACTTATATCTGCTCGATTTTAACGAGAAGAGAAACTTTTTATCTCGAGTTTTATCGCGAGTTTTATTATTAATTACCCTCTCTCGAATTTCTTTTCCTTTTTTGGAAGGGGGCCCTCAATTCGAGAAACCAAAGGAAAATGGTTTCTTCGACTCTTTCTCTCTCTCTCCCCCCTTCCTCCCCTCGAAAAATG